AAAACTCAGACCCAACGGAGGGGAGGGGAACACACACACAGTTAGCATCAAAAACACACAACAAAAGGCGAAAAGCGAGTGGAAAACAAAAGCCAAGTGCAAAACAATTCAGCAAAAGGCTGTGAGAAGAGAGGTGGTAAGGGGGGAAAAGGACATTGCCCAGGACATGCAGGGGCTGGCCAAAACGGATGCACCTAGCGCGACAGTTTGGACCAGGTCCTGGGAACGCCGCATCCCAGTAAGCAAGGACTAACCAGGACTCCGTCAGAGGCCCAGACTCGCCGCAGCGGAAGTAACTCGCTGAGCGCTGTTGTGGCTGATTATGCTGCTCCTGCTGCCTGTCCTGCTCCTGCTCCTGCTCCTGCTCCTGCTCCTGGCAGTGGCAGTGGCACGGGGCTCCAAGGGGGGTTGCCACATCCACATCCACATCCACATCCACATCTAGAGCCTCTGCCCTCGTCCATCCATCCGTCTGGACCATGTGAGCGATGCTGGCGCTGGTCTCTCCCGCTGCGACAGCAGCAGAACGGGCCAGTTTCAATTTATATCCGCCATGTCCTTGCCCCCCGCCAGGATTCAAATGCAGCAGCAGCAGCAGTTCCCCCCCCCCCTTCTCCTGCACCGCAAGAAAAAATTACTAAGACATACAAGTCTCTTGAAAGTTTTAGACATCTTTGAAATCTATAGAGATTTTTTAAGAGGAAGAAAAGTATTGAAAAAAAAGGTCTAGCAAATAAATGAAAAGCTTAGAAAAACCAAGGACTAAACCTAGAATTTAACATCAAATGATAAACTAAAAATCAAGTTGATATCATTTAAAATTTTAAAGTATTCAAAGAATATATTTTTATTTATAAAACATTGATTCAATTCAAAAATTTCAAAATTTACTTTTTTTTCTAAGCTCTTATAAGTTATAGTATTTTTTTTAAGAAGGAAAGTATTTAAAAAGAAATAAATGAAAAGCTTAGAAAAAAACTAGAACTAAATTTCAAATTATAAATTAAACTTTAGACTTAATAAATATAAATTTCAAATTACTTCCAGGAATATTTAGTTGTGTATATTTTCATTTATAAAACATTAACATTTATCAAAAAATTCCAATATTCCCTTATTTTATAAAAGTTCTTACAAGTTTTATACTATTTATAAATATTTATTTTTTATTAATTAAAATCCTGTAAAAGAGTTAAATCTCTTACTTTTATTAATGACTTTCAAAAACAATATCCTAAATACCTTCGACTTAGAAGATATATTTATTATTTCTAACAACTAATCCCCAGAATCCTTTCTTTTGTGAGCAGTTTAATTATACCAAAAAATGAAGCACAGTGAGTTGGCACTCCGCCCAAAAACCCTTCACATCCCCCACCCCCCTGTGTTGGCCGCTTTTTGGGGTTTTTAACAACACAAAAAAAAACACAAGAAATAAATAAAACTGTAGCCGCAGCTGGACAAAAGTTTGACGTCCACATGACGACACGTTGACACTGCGGCCAAGGATGGGGGTGTAGCAAGTGTGGGTGCAAAAAAAAATATAGAAAAACAAAATACAAATAAATAAAAATAAGGACGAGGCAGGAGGAGGGAGGGGGAAACACTCTGTTATTTGTTATAACAATTGCAAATGCTGAAAACGCGAGGAGGACGTTGCCATGGCGATTAGGAGCAGGATAACACGAAGAAAAGAAAAAAATAAAAGGCAGCGGTCGCCCTGGTCGGTCGGTCGCTCATTTAATGGACACTGTTTGGTCGATAATCAAATTAAAAGAGCCCCCAAGGTACGAGAAAAGCTTACAGCTCGAAAAAAGGTGGAAAAATCAACAGCCAACAGGAGCCAGGACGACCATGAGATGCCCATGCAGGTCAGCCGCCCGCCAGGTGATGTGATGTTAGTGGTGGTGGGTCACCTCCCCCCTAACTCTCTCTCTCTCTCTCTTATCCTGGAAGGCTGGCAGGTGCCGGTCCTGCTTGATTAACGCTGACCATATCGATACCTATTTCCCCCTTTTTTTTTGCAGGATGTTTGTGCAACGAAGCTCAACAAAGGGCCGGCAGGATATTAATCAAAAGGACAGCTGAGTTTTGGGTTCTAAATGCTTTCATCGGAACTTGTTCATAGCTTAAAGATCAGTGATTAAGTGGTTAGTTTCATTGTTGTATTTTATTACAAGTTTAATGGTTAATTAAGGTTTGTTATTTGAAATTTGAAGTTTTGTGGGGGAATTTATTGAAGGTATTTAGATACAAGTTGATATGTCTATTAATGTATTTGTATAGTATTTCTTATATTTTTACATTACTTATTTAAATATATTTCGTTAAGGAATTTCTAGAAAATATATATTCTAACTAAACTTGGCTCATCTAATTTTCCCCTTTCCCCACCTTAATTTTTCTCCCTCTCCCCCCCTGTTTAGATTGTTACCATTTTAGACACACTCCCAATAGAACTTGTCAAACATGGAACATTGCGACTTGTTCTCGGAAATTACTCATCAGAACCCACTCTGAACCCTCCCCCCTTCAAAAACCCCCATTCCTTTCTTCTGATAAGAAGAGACGTGTAGCAGCAACACCCATTGGGCGGCATGACGAAATGCTGTGTGTAGAAAGAGACTCTCCTGTTCTTGTTTCTTTTTGGAGATCAAAAAGATTCCCACTTCCCCCTTTGGAATCGAAATCGAAATTGAAATTGTAGCAATTAATTATGATGGTCGACAAGGAGAGGGGGGGGGAGGGGAAAGAGCTAGCTAACAACAGCAATTTTGGGGACAGAGCAGAGAGATATCGATAAGGATGGTTACCATGTACATATATATATATATATATGTATATATATATGACATATGGCAGGGCAGGTCCGTAGCATCACGTCCAAGCCTCCTCCACCTGCTTCGATCGTCAGCAATTAGGTCTTCTCTCTTATCACCTGGAAATTACCTGGAAAATGCCGCTGCTGCTCGCCCCTTTGTTGATTTTGATTTGTAAGACAAATAGACCGAAAAAAAGAGAAAAATATCTATATAGATATATAGGGAAAGAACACCAACAGCAAACAACTTTGCGAGCAATTAAAATTGTTTGACGACACAAGGGTTCCTCCTCACTCTCCTCCTCATCACTCCCCCTCCTCCACTCTCCCCTCCCCTGACTGATGGGGGAGTGGAGCAAGTGTACTGGCCAACTCAAGTGCGTCATTGTCCAGCGGCCGTCGCTATCTAGATAAGATTGATAACGCCGCTTGCTTGCCTGCCTGCCTGCCTGCTTGGGCAACAAATGGAAAATCTGTGCAAAAAAAAAAAACAAAAAAATCCCAACCAGAAATGCGGCCCCAAAAACGAGCGAAAAAACAAAATACGACTTAGTTTATTGCTGCCGCGAACAATCCATATTATGACAATGATATGGATATATGTCGATTGTATGGAGCTTTATGGCTTTACGGCCCTGATTTTTCCTTTGAACTAAGCCGTGTTTTTTCCACAAATGCAGCTTGGACGCTGGTCCCACAAAAAATATAGAAAATTCAGCATAATATTGATAGGGAAATTACAAAGAAAATTTTACAATTACCAAATTATAGGTAAAAATGTCTTAAAACAACAAATCTGAACAAAAAAAAAGTATATATATGTATACAAAAAATCATTGCAAACACACCTAGGCGGGGGCGAGTGACTCTGATTTAGACATGGCCATATCGCAGCGATAACTCGACTAGATACAAGAACAACAACAACAAACTATAACAAAATAAGGAGACCTTTCCATATGGCTGAGGGAGGGAGGGGAGTGGGTGCGACATGGTCGACTGATATGGCCTGACCATAGGCCATAGCCGGAAAACCTAGCACACAAATTCCACAAAAAACGTATTGAGATCATCTTTTCCAGGGCTCACCTTAGCTGAGTTATATTTGCAATATTTACGACTTTGGTCACTCTGGAGATTAGTATCTCTTTTGGGAAAATATAAAGCTTTGGTCATTCTAAAAATCCTTAACTGAAGAGTGACATAAAGGATAAATTAAATACCTTGAGGTATTTTCTTTCCAATAAATTACAACCAGATATATAGTAACATTTAAATGTCATTTATATTTAAATAAATGTATTATTTTTAAAATAGATTATATATTAATAAGAAAGGAATCAACTTGGAGAAGTCGAAGTTAATATACCCTTGCACTTTTGAATTGAATTATAGAACCCATTCTGAAATCGATTATAACAAAGTTTTTTCGAATTATTATTTATTGATATTTTATATAACAATTTTTCTAAAAACAAACCTTAAAAAACGCATAACTTAGTCAAAATACATTAATTTCAATTCAGAAAACTGTCCAATGCTAGTTTTGACAAGATTAATAAAACTGCATACTTTATTAAGTATGTAAAAAAATTTAAATTTTTATCATTTTTTTTTTTAATTTCAACGATGTAACCCTTATAAAATTTGCAAAATTTTGAAAAAATTAATTTTTGTCGAATATAGCCAGATCGATTCTCCTTTTGATGCTGATCAAGAATATATATGATTTATAGGGTCGGAAATGACTCCTTCACATTTTAAAAAGCTTCTAACTATAACATAATATCCAACTTTTTAACTAGCCTCTTCTACAAAAGTTATTTATGAAAGCCTAAGAAATTTGTATACAAACATTTTACTCTTTAATTTTACAAGTTTATTTAAAAACAAGCACCTGCTAAGGTAAACAAACCAAATTGACAAGCCCAATCTCAAATAATATTATTAAAATTAATACTAAAATGCAAATAAATTGTGAAACTAAAATAAAATCTCCTATAAAATTACAAGAAACTGTAAACAAAAGAAATCTTTCCCAATTTTTAAGGACTTCATCATGAAACCACTGAAAGCCACTCACGAAATCCCATCAGATTTAAAGCCAAAAGATATCAGCTGTTTGGTGTCCCAATTGGAACCTTAAACTTTAACCCTTATTTTTGTTTGTCACACTCACCTTGTGCAATTCGAACCGCGGGCATTTTAATTCTCATTTTTCTTTCCAGTTTCCGGAAGGTGATTCAATCTTCGCCACACACACAGGCACACTTAACCCCACAAAAGGGCAATGTCCTGCCGATCTCCGACAAAAAAAAACACTAACTTCGACACCAAATACGATTTCCACTTGGATTTTTCCAATTTTCCAATGCGAAGAAAGTTTCAATATTCTACGTTTTTGTTTTGTTTTTTTTTTTTTCTACTGCTCTCCTCTTCGTATTATTGCACTTTGTTTCGGTGATTTTTTTATTGAAAAAAAAAATTGTTTTTATTGATATTGATCTATTTGCTAATCAGACAGCTTCAGTTTTGGTTTTACTTGTTGTTGTTTTTCTCATTTTGATGGCTTTTCTTGGGCTGCCATAAAGGAGGAAAACCGAAACAAAACTAACAAATACAAGGATAATATTTGTATATTTTGACGGTAAAAAAAACTTGAGCACTTGTTCACTTTTATTTGCTATTTTCTATTATTATTTTTATTTTTTTGTGATTGTTGTATATATATTATTATTCTTTTTTATCATAGGAACCTTTTGCACTCGGTTTTTGTTGGGGTTTCTTTAGCTTTTCTTCGATTTCGATGCTTTTCGTCAATCCTTGTTTTTTGGCTTTGAATGTTTTGTTGCTGCCTTTCCTGCTGTTGCTGTTGTTGTTTTTGTTGTTATCGTCGCTGTCGTTGTCACCTTCGCACGCGGTTTCATTTTCCCAAAAGAGATTCCCAATTGGAGTTGGTTCAGCAACGAATCGAAAAAAAAAATAAACACCCAATTGGTTGGTAAGCACACTCCGAGACACTTGAAAAAAATATAATGGAAGATTTGCCTGGCTTTCGTTTCTTATTTTCCTGTTGTTATTTTCCCATTTCGTAAGGATTTTAGTAGTATAATTCTCGTTCCGTATTTTGGTATATTTTTTTGTTTTGTTTTTTGTTTCTCCTTTCGCTTAACTGTTATTATATTTGCCGCGACGACGACCAACGGCCAACGGTAAACGGTGAGCGTGTGTGTTTGTGTGTCCGCGCTTTAGCGGCTCCGGCTTGTGTGCGGTGCTAACGGTAACGGCGGAAGTACGCGACTACTTGCGACGTTTTAGCGGCGAGCGCGTCTTCGCTGCCGCCTGGTCCTCTGCCTCTGCTTCAGCCTCAGCCGCGGTCGCCAAAAGCTGCGCAGCTTTGCCTGTCGCCGCTGTCCAGGGCCCACCACACACACCGAAGGCAGCTTACACCAGCAGCAACAACAACAGCGCCGCAGCGACCACGTTCCAACCAACTCAGCGAACGAACGAACGAGCTAGCGAACAAACACGCCAGCGAACGCGTTGGAAGTGTGACGAAAGCTCGCTTTGGACACGAGACGCGACGTGAGCGAACGGGAGAGAAAGAGAGTGACACACACAGAGAGAGAGAGATATAGAGTGAGAGAGAGAGAGAGCGCGGGTTAAGCGCTGGCCAAAACCAGAGGGCGGACGCTGTGTGTGTGTGTGTGTGTGTGAGTGGAAGAGCGAGCTTGCTTAGGCGAACATGTCCGAACGAGACGATGTCCTGCGAGCGACTGCAGATAATTCAATTTCATTTCAGGCTTTTGCACTTTAATGCCAATCTGGCAATTTGATTTTGGCTAAGCGACGCCGAGGCCGACGCCGACGCAGCCCTTTCCTAACGGTGCGGTGCGGGCGGTGCGGTGCCGTTCCATATCGTGCCGGTGCCTGTGGGATGGTGGTGTCGGCGGAGGCGGAGGTGGTGGTGGTGGGTTGGGTTCACCCTCTCTGCCGGCGTCGCTGCCGGCGTTTGTTTATTTGCCGCTGGTCATGTGTGCGTGTGTTGGTGCGTATGTGGGGGTGGGCACACCGGCCGCACTGGCCAGAGCGGGATAGCGCTATAGCGAAGCACAACGCACACACAAACACACGCATGGAAATCGCAAAGGGGTGGCAACTTTTCAGGCTGGACACTCTGGTCAATCGCACACACACACACACACAATAATACACACTCGTGCCAGTTAAGGGCGCGATTACAACCCTCTCGCAATTACGAATGTCCAGGCAACAACAACAACAACAACTTGCGCAAGGACACCGAACAAGGACCACAACAGCTCTAAGGATAAGGACATCATAAAGCGCGCGCGCACCTTTCAGGCAGTAAATAAAAATAATATAATTGCAATAACAGAAGGACATGTTGCTTAAACAAAAAAATAATAATATAAAATAATAAAAACAAACATTGGAAATTCAAAGAATTATTTAATAAAAACTCATAATAAGCAAGTGATTTATTGTCCTAAATTCAATTAATTTCAATATAAAGTTAAATAGTTACTTATTTATTATTTGCATTTATAATAAATTCTTTATTAAGGTACCTGTGACTTTAAATAATTGAAAATCTTGTTCAAAATGTTTAAGTAAAATATAGTAATAAATAAATATTTGTCCAAAGAATAAAACAGTTTTAGTATAACTATTACTATTATTTTATTTATTTAACTATTAATTGTCCAAAGAATAAAACAGTTTTAAATAACTATTACAGTAAAGTCCAATGCCTCACGGATATTATTAAAAATCAAACAAAAATTAACTTTAGAAAAGGTTGTTTATGTTCAATAGAATTTTTAATTTAAATAACTTTTATTTGCACTAAATATTATCTTATTATTTATTAAAGTACTCTATTGTTGTTCATTATTAATTGTTCATTTAATCAAAACAAAAACCTTAATTTCGAAGGATATTAAAAACCATATGAGCAACAAATTTCGCTCCTTTGGGGCACATCCTCGGCAGACGCGTGTCCAAGCGCGTCTGATGGAGCTGTCGGTCTTGGCGGCTGCTTTGGAGGATGCAACCAAAGTGGCGCACAACCTGCACAGCTGCCAACACGTTGCAAAGCTCGAAAAGAGATCGACGACAAAGCGCCTCCAAAGGTCATGTCAATTGGTTTGTGGCGGAGTGGGGTGGGGGGTGCCGTGATAATAGCAGCATTGGGGGGGGGTTAAGGTGCATCCCTCAATGAATGATCACAGCCGCACCTCCGTTGGTGCTCCCCCCTTTGGGCAGCGTTGCAACCGCGACATCGAACATGTTCGCGGCTGCCGGCCTGCCTGGCCTCCCATCGAAAACAAAAAAAAAGGCAACAAAAAAAAGCTGGACAGCGCTGTCGCGACCAGCGTCGCGTCGCTGCTGCCATTAATGTCAGGCTCTTTGATATGAGAATCAGCGCACTCTCACACATATGAGAGCTTCGAATGCTGCGAATGTGTGAGTGTGTGTGAATTGTTTTTGTTGTTAATTGTTTTGTAGGGAGGAGGAGGAGGAGGAGAAGGGGTCATGGGGGAGTTGGGTGACATGTGAGGCGTGTATGATGCTCTGAAGTCCGAGTTTTATTATCACTTAAATTGCACTTGTTTAACGATTTTAACGAGTTCGAAAATTTATCAAATGGAGTATAGAATTATTTAAATCTAGTAAATAGTAATAAATAGTTTGAATTTCATATGAAAATATGATATGGAATCTTATATTATATATTTAAATTTACTTGGTAAACTCCATTCAATAGATCCCAAATCCTAGCTTTTAATTTCCAGATCTTAAGCCTTGCTTTTAATAATTACTATAAAATATCCTTATAATAATAATTAAATTTTTTCAAAATAAAAAAAAGAAACTTAATGGTCTCATACAAAAAACTTTAAAAATGTATAAACAAACATATGTGAAGATATAACTTATATACATATTATTGAAGCTACATATATGCAAGACCACTCGCACTCCCACTCCTACTCCCTCCCACACACACACACACACACACACACATACGCACTTTCACACACTCCCTCACGCACACACACACACACTCGACGCACACATGTGTGGCGTCGCACACGCGCGTTCGTCATCGATTGGCCGCCGTCTCTGCTCTCGCACATTTGTGTTTGACAATCACCCGCTGCCACCCCCCGCGGTCCATCTACCCCCTTCCCCAGCAACCCATAACCCATCCACACACACACACACACACACACACATACTCCTCCCCCACCTGCGACTCTCTTTTATCGTACAGGTAGCACACACATACAGAGAGCCAGACATGCTGAGAGAGTAAGCTCTGCCGGCGTTGCTGGAGAGCGAGCGAACTTAAGAGAGCGCCACCCCACGAAAGGTGATGAGAGAGAGTGAGAGCGGGAGGGGGAGGGGGGACAACACAATGTGTGCCACGACGAAGTGCCAAGGTGAGGGCTACTGCCTGACAGGAGAGCGGGGGTTGGGGCAGGTGGGGTGAGGGAGAGAAGGGGGGATGTGGCTGTGGAGTAGGGGTCGCCGGGCATCGCTATAACTGTTATCAGTCGAACGGAGACTGCCGGCTAACGGAGCTCGGCTGGAATAGAATGGGAATAGAAATGGAATTCGTACAGGAATGAGACCTAAATGATTACTTTACAGGGTATTAATAATTCTGTATTAGGGGTACTAGTTTTACATGTTCTAATGAATACCTAGTATCCTTTTCTATGAAAAATTATACTTCTATCATAGTTTCACTAGCTAAATCGTTTAAACGTAAATTTAAATTGTTTAAATATCAAGAATATCTTTTAAGAAATCCCATATGAACAAAAATATATTCTTTCCTAAAAAAACTTATTTAAAAATGAAATTTTAATACTCTGGAAGGGTATAAAAATTAACAAAAGTGCTACAGACTTAAGATTTAATTAAATTCGATTCTAAGTAAATTGAATCTAATAAAATTCATGTCATAATGAGCTTTGTAATAATATCAGTGTTTAATTATACAAAATTATCTTATTCCACATTTAAAATTTTTATATCAAAGTTTATGATATTTCATATGTTATTGAGTGCAATATATTTTTTTCTATATATTTTATCACATTTTCCCTCAAGATATCTCTTCATATATCCTTAAACCAAACTTTTCCTGATTTTTAACCCAAACCTGAAGTCACTTCCGAAGA